TTCTCTTGTTTCTTTAACAAAAATTAATTCTCTATTTTCTTATCGTTTGTGTTGTGCTTCATACAGAGACATGTTTATGAAGAAAAAATCTATTCTTTTTCTTTTGATTTATTTTTCCTATATTATTTTCTTTATTATTAAATGATTGGTATGGATTTAACCTAGAATAAATGATTAAAACTAAGCTGTTTTTTTATGGAGATTTCAATGAGTTTTGATGATAGACAAGTGTAAAAAATTATCAAGAACGAACTATGAATAGATCTGATGATAGAGTCATAGAACCGCTTCAGATTCGATTTATCAAAATTCTATGTGCCCGATTTCTTCTTGCTTTTATGCAAAACGAGATCATGGAATGGAAAACAGAACGTTTTCGATGGTTTACTGAAACAATAATCTGGAACGAAAATTTTTTTCGTCCTCGCTAACAACTGTAATGCGTTAGAAAAATTCTAAATGATTAATAAATCGATCAAAGCATTTAGACTCTCAATCAGGTATTCTTAGAGTTATTCATATATAAGTCACTTATTTCTTATTAAACAGATCTATTGTGATCATATCCAATGATTGGAATTAGGGATATCATATTACTGTTTCCTCCACTTGCACTTACCAAAGTAACAGTAAGTGTTTTTACTACTGAAAAATTTCCTTTTTAGCACAGATAAATCGCTACTTTAGCCATCGATTCTTCGTTGTTATATAATAATCTTTATCATTTACTACTTACTAGTAGGTGGTAAGTGTTTAATCAAGAATAGCGGAGGCTATTCTGGGTACCTAGAGTAACTGTTTGAGAGCTATTAACGGGGCCTTCTGATAGTCCTCAAAAAGTTGCCACTGGTAAGCTTAAATAGTCCTCAAACGGTTACTCTTGGCACTCTCAAATAGTGCTTGACAAGTTATGAATGATATCCTCAAAAAGCCATTAATAATTACAGGTATGTACCTCCCTATTCAGTAAGAGACACTTACTACTTACTTGGTAACAGTAGTAGGAATATGACGCTCCTAATTGGAATGGACCAAATTTTTGATAGTCGAGATGAGGTCAAAGATACTTTTTCATCGATCAAGAAGCATTTTTCTGAAGATTAATGAACTCTCTTAAAATTAACAAGAACGAAATTATTGTCTTCTTTAGATTTGTTGTATGTGGAAATCGAAGTTGATCAGTTTATTGTGTCTCGATTCGACTTTGAATTTGTCTTGCAGCTGGTTTTCATCAGTTTGAGTAAAATTGTTTATTCCTGATTGAAATTTTGAATATAAAATTTCAGTTTTGTAACACTTTTCTCCTAGTCATAATTCTGCTTCAGCAGTAGATAGGAATAGAAACCAATGAGAGCAATTTATGGTATATGAACACATACTGTTTTCTATTCGCAAGAGAAAATGATAAATCAATTCTTACAATTATTGAAGTTTTCGAATAGTATAACAGCTTGTTCCTTATGGTCAATAAGCTCAAGAAAATATTAGCTCTTTCGTACATTATTTAATGAACTTTGTATTTGAAATGAGTCTCTCGTTTATATCAACTATAGAAACTATTTTGGATATTTCTTAATAATCGTACTAAATATGAAGTTTGACATTTACTTTTCTTTCTCGTAATTCTATAATTTTCTCATCGAACTGTTAACCAATTATTTGAGAATGAACTATGTATAATAATATAGAACAAAAAAAAAAAAAAGAAATGTTCGTTTATATCTCACAGTTTCTATGGTAACGATCATATTCAACATATATATGATCAATCTTTATTTGGCGGTCGACTAATATAAAGCAATAAAAAAACTCGTCCGTCATTGAATATAAATTAGAGAAGATATCAACAAATAATGCAGAAACAATTATTCATATCAATATATGGCGTTGATCACATGTTTTAACGATCTACCCGATTTAGTATTGATTGAGGTGTTTGCGTATCTGTCATCTTACGATATTCTTTGGGGATTGACTCTTCTTAATCATCGTCTAACAATGTTAATAACTGAACGAGGTTTCTTTTCTCGTATTAATTTATCCCTAGCACATTACCATCAATTTAATAGAATTCTTCATTTTCTTCCATTGAATGATATTCAATCACTCTCAATTGATAGTGATGCATCTCCATTTCAATTAACTCGTTGGCCTTATTTACGTCGTTTGAAAACTCTGCGTATCATTGGTGTATACAATCATGATGATCTTTTAGTTTTTGTTACACTTCATGCAGCAACACTCACTCATCTAATTATAAAATCAAACGAAAGAATGGTACCGGTAAGTATCACCTATTTGCTTCTAATACATGTAAAGCTCTACAAAAGGAGGTCATAATTCACTTTGAGCATAGCACTTCTTTGTTGGTATGCTTAACATACCACATAGCACTGCTGGAGGGTGAGAGCTGTGCCGAAAGTGAAAACGTTTCCAATAGAGTGGAACCATTTATGCCACAATTAAAAAGGTAATGTTGTTGTGGCGTTAAATTCCTTTACAATATTGCTAAAAGAAGACCAATTTGTATGCATAGACTGTAAAAGATAAATTATTTTCATTATTTGAAAATTTTAGACCAATCAAAATTTGAGTCAAATCAAATTGTAATAGAGGTGGTAAGGAAAGACAAATTCATTACTTTGGATTGAATTTCATTCGATACAGATTATTGAAATCGATAAAATAAGGAATAAAAAAACATCTAGTTAAATTATTTGAAAATTTATCCTATTCAAATATGATTTTGATTGAAAAACAATTTAAAACCTATGATTTACGTAACTTGATTATTAAAATTTATTATTACATTAATATGTTAAAATATAAAATAGTTTTTTATTCGGTATGAGATCTTTTTAAAACAATTGTATGGAATTATTCGACTTTTGATAGAGAAAAAGAAAATAGAATTAATCTGTTCATCAAAAATGATATCATATTCTAAAATACATCTGTAGAATTAGACGTACAATCATATAACAAAGTTGAATTATTAAAACGAACAAAGCTTGCTCTAACTTTCTAACAATTTGATTGTGAAACTATCTCTAATAGTTCTAAATATATTTGAAAAGTATCTTGCTTGAATAATTATTGCGATCACATTTTTAAAGATAACAGTAATGAAAATCGCAGTGAGATAAAATATTAAAGAGAATAGATTTCGTTTAGTGATAATGTAGAATCGAATGAGAATTGTTTCAACAGTCTAAAGATTTCCATCAATTACAAATAGTATAGAGAAAACTTTCTATCAATCAGGAAACTTTTCAAAGATCTGACATTAATTCGTATTAAAAAATTAATTTGAATAGAATCTTCACTTTGTCGATCTCTTTTTCAATCAAAGTACTATTACTTTTAATCTGACACTCAAAAGACTACAGGTGTTCAAAAAGGTAACTGCATGAAAATTTTTTCGTATATCTTTATTATTTCATCTAACTATATCAACTAATTTTTTTAAAATGATAGGTGGATACCGAGTGTTTATTTGTATGGCCAAACTTCAAAAGTATTGTTCAAAACGAAGACTTAACCAATATACAAAAATCTCACCTGTTTTTTATTTTCAGAAAAAACCCTGAATGATGTCGGTTTTAATTGCTTGTATTTTGAGTTGATATCATTCAAGTCGTTTTTACAAAGACATACAAAAATAAAACCCTATAAAACGACTGCTCAAGAATTGGAGAACTTAAATATCTCCATCATTCAATAGCCTCAAGGAAATAAAAAAAAGAAATGTTGCGTAATATTTTCCTGGAAATAGAAAACAGACAAAAGTTTTGAATATTGGCTAGAAATTTTCGTTTTGAACAGTACTTCTGAGTTTGGTCATATAAATAAAAACTCGGTGTATCCACTCATTCAAAAACAAAAAAAATTAGTTGATACAGTTAAATGAAATGGTAAAGATACCAAAAAACTTTCATGTAGTTACTTTTGGAACACTCTGTACTTAGTAGTATTTTTCACTGATAATGCGTTGATATTTATATACTTTTTTTTAGGATGGTTTTTCGATTACATTGGACTATCCACTAGGCGACATGGTGACGTTAATAAATAATGTTCTTCTTATTCATTTACCTGCACTTCGATCTCTTAACTTGGGTATGAATTATTACATGACAAGTTGGCCCATTACTACTGCGGTCGCTCCTCTCATTTATCTGCGTCTTTCTTTATCAAATATGGATGATTTGTTGCGGCTTATATCAACAGAACCACTCTTCGATACATTACGCCAATTACACATAACAATAGGTGATAGTGATTCCAACAAGCATTGTCCTGTGTCAATGTCTAATCTATCTATTCGAATGATTAATTTACATACATTTTCACTTGTTCAAACATTCTTCTCATTGTTAACAATTGAATGGACAGTTTTTGAAATACTGACATCTTCAAATGTTATGCCTGTTCTTCGACGTGCTAATGTATCTCTGTTTATTAATATTAATCATTTAAGTTGTATTAGTTCATCAGGAATCTTTACTGATCATCGTCATGTTGATGTTCATTTCGCATTTAATCTTCTTAATTGTCCTCATAATATCAAAGTGACACCATATATACCACGTGGAAATCGTTTTCATTCACGAGAAATTGTTGGTGCTACATTCGTTGTTAATCGCTGGTCTCCGAGATCAGAATGGCTCATTGATAGTGATCCTTTTGTAAGTTATTGTTTGATTATATTTTTGATCACCTTTTATTTCAAGATGTAATATGAAGGAATTGGAAATTATTGTTCTTTACTTAATAATTTAGTTTTTATCTAACAATATGTCAATGTATTTCATATATTTATAGAGTCGTGGACGTCATTATTATCATCATATGTGGTATACTCTTCCATGGGCATTTGATGAATTCTTCCACGAATATATTCCATATAGATGGATTACCAAAGTACAAGTGTTTGAAATACCTTCTCACGATACTACGGCAATGGATCAATCATCACTTCGTACATCAGATGCAGCAGGTCAAACTTGGCCAACACTTTTATCCTATTTACCTCATGTGGCATTATCCAATTATATTGAAACACTGCACTTATCCTATTATAATAGACCTATTCATATACATTTATCCACTCTTCGCCATATAACTCTTCTAAATAGTGTCAATTGTCTCAACTATTTCTCTTCATTTCCAACAACTATCCGTTCTATTCACATTCTTGTTTGTCATACTTTTCCGAACTGTATGCTACCAAATTGGTCAGTAATTTTGCATTTTCTTTCAATTTTGCCAGAATTGAGTTCGTTACGAGTGACTATGTATGACTTATTAAAAACTATTGATGACAAAAATTGTCAAATAATTGCAAAGACAACATCATTGTTGAGAGATTTTGGTTTTTACTTTCGACGAAAATTCAGCTCATTAGATGATGATATGAAAACTACATTTGAAGATCATACAAAATTTATTAAACAGTTATGTGATGAAATACTCCTATTATGTCTTGATAAACAACTTTATTATTCAATCGAAGATGATGGTTGTGGACTCACAATGTGGTTCTAATTGATATATAAATCTAACAGCAATCGGTTTTAGCTATTGTCAAATGATTAGACAATCCTTTTGGCACAAACACTCGTTTATTGTTATTATTCATTTTTCAAATAATAATATAGGATTGACTGTCATAAGTGATGTCATCAAGAAGAAAAAGAATTTTTACTAAAATAGTGAATAATTAAGACGAGACATAATTTTCAAATTGTACTATGTCTCTTACTGTGATGTAGTGACACCGTCACATGAAAGTTTTCTCTATTCTATTGCATAAAAGAACTTCTCGATATTGTTGCTTTCTGTTCATTTGTTGTATTCCTTTCTTTCTTTCTTTCCTTGGTAAATCTCAACTTCTTTAAATGTGAATATAATAAGTAAATAATGCAGTAGAATAAATCTTATACTAATTAATATTTGAAATTTTCGACCTTTATAAGTACGGTAATGATGTCCAAGGAGGTGTTACCGCGCTGCTGCTGCCTTGGCGGTGAGGACGCGGTAGCGGTCGTTTTTTAAATAGTCATCACGGCAGCGGCGCAGTAGCGATGGATTCTTAGAAGGGCAATGCAAAAATACATGAATCTGAACAGAAATTCAATGCCTGCAAGTACAAAACAATGTGACTGAACGAATCTTATCGATTAGTAATAACAGTTCCAGGCCTAAACAGTTACAGTCGTAAAATTCACAACATTTTTCTAACAACCATCGCGGCAGCGTCACGGTAGTTTTTTTTATCACCGCGGTGCGTTAGCGGTCAGTTTTGAATCGCGATGGACATCTCTGGAGTATGGTCATCATCAACACAAATAAGACATCATTTGTTGTTAATTTCAAGTTTTCTTTACTTACTCATTATATTTGTTTAGCAGAATTTATTTATTTGATATTAAGATCAGTTGTCAAGATATTTATATTTTGACTAATGGTTATGTACTGATTATATTTATTATGCATTATGAAATTATGATTACTTTTGATGTTGTTGTGCTTGGTAAGATAGTTTATGTTGTTGTAGCACTTTTTCATCTGTTGCTTTTATTTGAATAAAGTTTCATCCTAAATCACATATGATATTTTATTGCTGATGATGACCATACTTATAAAAGTCGAAAATTTCCATACAATGATCTATTCAATTTTAATCTGAATTCGGAAATACAAAACGCTCCCTGATTTTCAACTGAAATCAGGGACTATGGAGACTTAAAAGTTATTCATCCTTGACATTCTACTTACCCGCTGTATATTTTTCTAAAGAAGGCGGGACTAGGAGAGCCGGGAGAAGTTCGTAATTATTCATTTCTGACATTCTTCCCTGCTTACCCTATGGTCTCTCTTTTGTTTGGAAAGTGGGACAAGAAGGACTAGAGGGACTTAGTAATTATTCGTCCCTAATATTTATCTCTACTATCTTGAGAGTGATTGTGAGCATGTATTGTACTCATCAATCGCCCATGTTCACCCACACCCACAGGCAGACGCACACTCCCAAGATGAGTAGACAGAGATGAATACCAGAAATGAATAGTTAGTAAGGACTCCTAGTACCCCTAGTTCCTCTTGTCTCACTCTCAGCACAGAAGGGGTGCCATTGAGTAGGTAGGGATGAATATCAGAAATGCATAATTACGAAGTCTCCCTAGTACTCCTAGAAAGGTTTGCAATGGAAATCTAAAACAAAGCGTACCATAGTACACAGAAATGAAATTTTTTATAATCTGAAAAGAGAAAAATAACGTTCATGTTTTTCTTTAATGAGAAATTAAAATTGATACATGGTTAACAAATAAGCTATAGACATCATAGAACAAAATCGAGTAGCGTTGAATCTGACTCAAAGGACTCGACTTTTAAGGTACTGTTAATACATTTCCCAGCTGATTCTAAAGTGGATTTAACCCCATCCTGGAAACAACTACTAATATAGGGAGGGGCAAGACTTGTGATTTTTTTGCGGTAAAGTTCAAGTTGCTTCCGCTCTACAATCGCTCATGCCTTCATATGCTCATGTTTTCAACTGGTGTGAATGCGATAATATCCCACTTCGCCACCTTGTTTTCTCTTTCGATCACTACAGATTAAAGCTGCCGCATTTTGGTTTCTTTAGTGAAAATTGCAATTCTTTTCAAGTTACTAAGTAGTACTTATTATAAAACGAGTTTTCGATATTCCAGTAAACTTATGTCAAAATGGTTAAAACTAACCCGTTTTAGGATGAAGTTTCCAAAACAAATTATCTCAGCAATTTAGTCTATAGAGGAACTAAAAAAATCATGAAAGCCACTAACTGTTGAAGCTCGAACATGTACAGATTGATAGTTTGAGTGATGTGTAACGTGAGAAAATAAGCAGTTATAATAACTTCTGTATGTAATTCTTAGTCCTTTCTGCAGTTGATCAATTTATCAACTTACATTTTTCTTAGTCAGCTGAGTTATGGCAATATAATTGAAGTAGTGGTGGTAACTAGACAATTATCATCTCCTATAAAGACTCACGCGAGTTGAATATAAAATAATTCTTGCTACATCATGAAATGTTTAATAGAGTTATTTCTCATCTCTAAACGAGCTAAAAACGATTAAAAAAGATGTTAATTTTCTAAATATCCTAATATTATCTGCTCTAATGATTTTACTTTCTTGAGAGTTGATGGCAGGGCGACAATAATGAAAATTCGTTTGTCAGTCGATGCTCGATTACTTGACTCGAATCGAATCGAGCCAAATAGAGTCATAACCTCTTGAAATGTCGGCGAAGTCGAGTCGAACCTATAGTTAGACCCTAAGCCGAGTCGAGTTGAATCTCTGTTTTTGTGACTTGTTTCAGTTTATGATAAGTACAAGTACAATTTCATCATGCGACACGTTTGTAAGACAAAGAGAGGAGAAAAATATACGAGTTTAGATAACAAACAAAGGAATATTTACTATTTTTTAATATACAGCTTCTAAAAATCTGGAATCAAAGTGTATATTTCTTGAGCAAAGTGTACGATGTACACTTTGCTTCTGCTTGGTACACGTGCTATTGCAAATCTTGGTTGTGGTGGAGAACGAAAGCTACATATAATGCATTTGAAAGAAACATCGACCTGTGCAATCCACGTGCAAACAATTAGAAATGCAGCCATTGTATACTATATTGTGATTTATAGAGTCATTTCAGATCTTCGGATTTAGATAAGTTATCAATATAGCTACTGTAACGTTTGACATAGATGTCGCAGACCATTATTTGTCTTATAGGTTTTTTAAACCAAGTTCAAAATAGTTTTTCATTAAACTTTGATTATATATATGATTCAATTCATATTGCATTCTATTCGATGAAGAATTTCAATGACAATATAGAGGTAAAATCAACTAACGATCCATTTTATACCAAAGATATTCTGGCTCCCTTTTTTCTTATTCATTCACATTCTCTCTTGCAGATTTTCTGTTAAATACTTTTCTCGTAAAACATGACAACTTCTTCGACTGCTGCTACTCGTTCAATACTTGTTCATTCTGATCTTTATCGTCAAGCAATGAATGATCTTTACTCATACATCGCAAATTCTGAACATGGTTATTTAACTCAAGATGAACTTTTTCATCATTATCGACAACAACATGGAAATGCAGAAATACCATATCGTTTCTTAGGTTATTCATCATTACTTGATTTAGTCGGAAGTGATCAAGCTCTATTTACTATTGATTTTCATCGTGGAATAGCTTATATCTATTTAACAAATAACGTAAATTTTTCGAAGAATAGAAAGATTCGACGTTTATTTTCACAATTTAGATTCAACATACACCACGACATGATTTATATACACCTGATTCACATATTCAATCGAATGAAAGTATGTCAAGAGTTCTTAAAAAAAAAATTGATTTTTTTTAATAGATATTTCTACTGGACCATCTTCAAATTTATCTATGATATATGGTGCTGCACGTGGTGTTGATGATTTAACTCCAATATATTCATCAACAAATCGTTTTAATCCACCAACTCAACAAGATCTTCGTATAAGAAAAATTTCATTTAAAAACACAATTGTTTTTTTTAAATAGGTATTTC